GTATGGTGTAACCTTTTGAGCGGCTTTAATAAGAGGCCTCCACACTTCATGCTGGCGCTCTCATCTCCCTTCACTTTTGTGCTGGGAATATTAATCATAGTCTGCCATATTGTTACACAGTCCTCCTACTCTAAATGTTATCACAGTCTCCCTCTTGCACCGTAGAATCCGTCTGCTATCGCCCTGGTTTAAGCATTTCACTCGATTTCTGCCACTCCATCTATGCTACTCGAGGCTTTATTTCCTACACTCTGCCTCTGAGTGACTAATTTGAGGCTAAAGCCTCTGAGTAAGTCTTATAGTTACGACTTTGCTACATGAAATACGTCTCTGTAAAACCTATTTTCAGTCAATTAACTCCAGTCTCCGCCGCATCTATCCTGTTTATATCGCTTCCACTGCCCTAGTCTCTTATGTGCCAGCCAACAAATGTTGTGGTACGGCTTGCTTTGATTAGGTTTGATGTTAAACCACAACGTTTGTAGTTGGAATTCAAGAGACTGAAGCAGGGGAAGTCATATACTTGGTATAACGAATAGAAGCAGGATAGACGCAGCGGAGACTGGAGCTAGTTGGCTGACAGTAGGTTTTACAGAGACGTATTGCATGTAGCAAAGGCGTGACCATGAGACTTATTTAGAGGCTTTAGCCTTAAATTCGTCACTCAGACGCAGGGTGTGGTAAATAAAACCTCGATTAGCATAGATCGGGTGGAAGAGGTCGAGCCAAATGCTTAAAGCATGGCGATAGCAGATGGATTCTCCTTGGCAAGAGGGAGACTGTGATAACCTTTAGGGAAGGAGGACTGCGTAACAATATGGCAGAGTCTGATCACATTCCCAGCACAAGTGGAAAAAAGGGTGAGAACGCCAGCATGGAGGGCTGAAGGTTCTCATGAATGCTGCTCAAAAGGTCACACTACAGTAGATTTCAATAAGTAAGGGAAAATTGTAACATCTTAGGTATAAGAGGAGGATATAGGAAATGTGAATAGTCCAGGGCAGAAAGAAAGATATCACAACTGTTTAGCTCATTTTTGGTCAAATGATTAGCTTCACTTGTCACTTTTAACGAATTGTTGTGTGATGCTACTAATGGTGAGACTCACTGACGATGCCGACTACGATGCCTGCGAATCGTCTGAGAATGTACCACGTCCACGGTTCGACTTTGGAAATGATCATGCATACAATGGACTCCGGAGTAGGTGGTTCCTCTAAGTCTCTATACCAATATGACCAATTTGCGAAAACAAGGTCAAACCACCTATATCAATTTGTTTGCTCTAATCCTACTAATTAAATGAGGGCCCAATTCCTGTCTTTAGTTAGAGGGGATTTTCTAAGTGCTTTTTTTTACGACTATTAAAATATTTTTTTGAACATCTATTCGTTTAACCAATTTCAGGACTTAATCGAGATAAACTCATGCTATTATTTATTTATTATGATAAAATATACTCGCTTAGTTATAAGCAACTAAGCAACAATGCAATATCATTTTTTGC